GAAATAGCTAAGAATTTGGTTGATTGGAATAATGTAATTGGCCTAAAATGGGAGTCAAAGTCGGCAAAATCGCCGATTCGTAAATATCGCTGACACATGAAAATTCGCGAGAGCATAATTTCGTCAATTTTCCACCAAATTTCATACTTTTTGTTTTATTACCTTCACAAGAAGATTCTCTACGATTTCATAAGAAAAAATAACAAATTTTTTTTTGGAAAATTCTTGGACACTGGTGCGTGACTCCAGATTTGGGCCTTGGACCCTGAAAGGGTTAAATAACGTTTTTTTGTCTCCACATATACCTCAACGCACCACTCACCTTTTTTCCCTCATCAATTCTATGATTAACCTCATCCTTCATAAATCCATCTGCTGACACGTCAATTCCCAAATATCTGAAAACATTCACTTATTTCATACTCCTCCTTTCTAATTTGATATCCAATTTTTCTTTATCTAAATCATTTGATGCCCTCATCACCTTATTCTTTTCTATGTTCACTTTCAACTTTCTACCTTTACACATACTCCCAAACTCGTCCATTAACCTTTGTAATTTTTCTTTAGAATCTCCCATAAGCACAGTACAGTGGACCCCCGCATAGCGACTTTAATCCGTGCAAGAGGGCTGATTGTTATGCGAAATGTTCGGTATGCGAATGAATTTTCCCCACAAGAAATAATGGAAATCAATTTAATCCGTGCAAGACACCCAAAAGTATGAAAAAAAAAATTTTACCACATGAAATATACATTTTCCTACACACAAAGAGAAGGATACATGCACAATAGTAGAGTAGTACATGCACAATATATATTGTGCATGTACTACTCTACTAAATGAAGAATAAATGACACTTACCTTTATTGAAGATGCAGCAATGACTGATGAGACAGTGTGTCCTGGGAGTGCCTTTTCCTCCTGAGTACTGTAGGTCCTGTTTGGTATTTTCTTCCAGAACAGGCCTTATCACACTGTGTATGCCACTACGATTCTTAAATCTCTCAAACCAACCTTTGCTGGCTTTAAATTCACCAATATGAGCACTAGTTCCAGGCATTTTTCCCTGTTCACCTGGGTGTTAGTCGACTGGTGTGGGTTGCATCCTGGGAGACAAGATTAAGGACCCCAATGGAAATAAGTTAGACAGTCTTCGATGACACTGACTTTTTTGGGTTATCCTGGGTGGCAATCCTCTGGGGTTAATTGTTTCTTGGCATTCTCAATAAGCCACACCAACAACGGTGCTACAGCAGCAGCAGCAGCTGACGGTGGTACAGCAGCAACAGATGATGCTACAGCAGCAACAGACGATGCTACAGCAGCAGCAGACAATGCTACAGCAGCAACAGACGATGCTACAGCAGCAGCAGACGATGCTACAGCAGCAGCAGACGATGCTACAGCAGCAGCAGACGATGCTACAGCAGCAGCAGACGATGCTACAGCAGCAGCAGACGATGCTACAGCAGCAGCAGACGATGCTACAGCAGCAGCAGACGATGCTACAGCAGCAGCAGACGATGCTACAGCAGCAGCAGACGATGCTACAGCAGCAGCAGACGATGCTACAGCACCAGCAGACGGTACTACAGCAGCAGCAGCAGCAGCTGACGGTGGTACAACAGCAGCAGCAGCTGACAGTGCAGCAGCAGCTGACAGTGCAGCAGCAGCTGACGGTGGTACAGCAGCTGTACCACCAATAGTAGCGATGGTTGATTGGGGTTTATTATACAACCTGGCCAGCTTGGAGACACGCACTCCACTTTCATACTTATCAATGATCTTTTTCTTCATCTCTATAGTAATTCTCACCCTTATTGCTGTAGGGTTGGCACTAGAAGCTTTCTTGGGGCCCATGGTCACTTATTTTCCAGAAAAAATCACCAAAAACACTGTAATAATACGAAATGTTCCGATTGTATGCTTGGATGTTACCGCGGAGGCTGGCTGGTAAACAGTGCCACCGGCGGAACATGTGAGCGTGGCTCAGGCCGCACATTGGACGCGTCTCGGACGAAGAGCGGTGAGCGGGTTTTTGGGCGGTATGCGAGGCAAAATTTTTGCGAAAAAAGCGAGCGGTATGCGGATTGTACGGTATGCGATGCGTGCGGTATGCGGGGGTCCACTGTATCAGCAAAAAGCAACTGTGTCAATTTGTATTTAATTCCCCATAATTTAATCCCACCCCTCTCCCGAACACCCTAGCATTTACTTCTTTCACAACCCCATCTATAAATACAGTGGACCCCCGCCTTACGAACGCATCGTGTTACGTTAAATCCGCCATATGAAGCATTTGAATGCAAAAATTTTGCTTCGCCTCATGATAAAAAACTCTCCTTACATGATTCATCCGGGACGCGTCCCACGGGTGGCCTCAGCGCCAGTGTATACAAGCCAGCCAGTGCAGTCGCATCTACGCATACATTCGGTACATTTCACATTATCCCAGTGTTATTAGTGCTTGTAACTGCAAAATAAGTCGCCATGGACCCCAAGAAAGCATCTAGCGCCATCCCTGTGGTAAAAAGGGCGAGAATTAGTATGGAATTGAAAAAAGAGATTAAGGAAATGTGTGCAAAGTGGGTTGAACTGCAAACCTTTATAGATGAAAATCACCCTGACACAGCTACTGCAAGCCCTGTTGGCAACCTGCACAATGACAATGTTATGGCCCATTTTAGGAAAGTCTTAAAGGAACGGGAGGTACAGAGCTCTATGGACAGATTTGTTGTGCGAGAGGTCCAGTGACTCTCAAGCTGGTCCTAGTGGCATTAAAAGAAGAAGGGAAGTAACCCCAGAAAAGAATTTGCTACCTCAAGTCCTAATGGAAGGGGATTCCCCTTCTAAACAATAACTTCAACACACTCCCCTCCTCTCATCCCATCAATCATCACCAGATCTTCAATAAAGGTAAGTGTCATGTATTCTATTCTTAGTAGAGTAGTAACTGTGCATGTCTTCTTCAGTTTGTGTGTATTAAAATTAATATTTCACGGGGTAAAAAAATTTTTTTTTTCATACTTTGGGGTGTCAGGAGCGGATTAATTTGATTTCCATTATTTCTTCTGGGGAAAATTAATTCAGCTAACGATAATTTCAGCTTACGATGAGCTCTCAAGAACTGATCAATATCGTAAGGTGGGGGTCCACTGTATATTAAATAGCCACGGTGACAATACACATCCCGGGAAGTAGGTTCCCTTTCTTCTACACACCCTAACCTGAGCCTCACTATCCTCATAAAAACTCTTTACAGCATTTAGTAACTTACCACCTATTTCATATACTTGCAACATCTGCCACATTGCTCCTCTATCCACTCTATCATATGCCCTTTCTAAATCCATAAATGCAATAAAAACTTCCCTACCTTTATCTAAATATTCTTCCCATATATGCTTCAATGTAAATACTTGATCTACACATCCCCTACCCACTCTAAAACCTCCTTGCTCATCTGCAATCCTACATTCTGTCTTGCCTCTAATTCTTTCAATTATAACCCTACCGTACACTTTTCCTGGTATACTCAGTAAACTTATTCCTCTATAATTTTACAATCTCTTTTGTCCCCCTTCCCTTTATATAAAGAGACTATACATGCTCTCCGCCAGTCCCTAGGTACATTCCCCTCTTTCATACATTTATTAAACAAAAATACCAACCACTCCGACACTATATCCCCCCCTGCTTTTAACATTTCTGTCATGATCCCATCAGTTCCAGCTGCTTTGCCCCCTTTCATTCTACATAATGCCTCGCGCACCTCCCCAAAACTCGCATCCTGTTCTTCTTCACTCCTAAAAGATGATATACCTCCCTGGCCAGTGCATGAAATTACCGCCTCCCTTTCTTCGTCGACATTTAAAAGTTCCTCAAAATATTCTCACCATCTACCCAATACCTCCATCTCGCCATCTACTAACTCCTCTACTCTGTTTTTAACTGACAAATCCATTCGTTCCCTAGGCTTTCTTAACTTGTTTAACTCACTCCAAAAATTTTTTCTTATTTTCATTAAAATTTCTTGACAGTGCCTCTCCCACTCTATCATCTGCTCTCCTTTTGCACTTTCTCACCACTCTCTTCACCTTTCTTTTACTCTCCATATACTCTACTCTTCTTATAACACTTCTGCTTTATAAAAACCTCTCATAAGCTAACTTTTTCTCTTTTATCATGCCCTTTACTTCATCATTCCACCAATCGCTCCTCTTTCCTCCTGCACCCACCCTCCTTTAACCACAAACTTCTGTCCCACATTCTAATACTGCATTTTTAAAACTATTCCAACCCTCTTCAATCCCCACCTCCCCCCACTACTCATACTTGCACCAGCCCACCTTTATGCCAATAGTTGCTTATATCTCACCCGAACTTCCTCCTCCCTTAGCTTATACACTTTCACCTCCCTCTTACTTGTTGTTGCCATTTTCCTCTTTTCCCGTCTACCTCTTAATCTAGCTGTAGCTACAACTAAATAATGATTCGATATATCAGTTGCCCCTCTACTTCCTGGAGCCTACCCATCAACCTTTTATCCACCAATACATAATCTAACAAACTACTTTCATTACGAGCTATATCATACCTTGTATATTTATTTATTATCTCCTTCATAAAATATGTATTACTTATTACCGAACCTCTTTCTACACATAGCTCAATTAAAGGCTCCCCATTTTCATTTACCCTGGCACCCTAAATTTACCTACTATTCCCTCCACAACATTTTTGCCTACTTTAGCATTGAAACATGTTTACCATCATTTATTCAATTGCTTATTTGCCAGAAGTGTGCTGAAATCACAGATGACCCTCCAACCTGCAACATACTAACCCTTTCCTTTAGTGATAGTGGCCAAAAAATTAACAAGTACCTTAGTTACTATGGCTCATCAATATACTGTGAACTTGTTTAGGGCTTTTGTTACAGTATTTCTCTGTGGTTTTCAATATCAAAGATTGTAAAACATTTATTTTCTTCCAGGTTTGCTGGACACCCTTACACATTGTGCTAATGACAAAGAATCCCAAATTTTTCTACCTGCATGGCGGGCTCTGCACAATCTTAAAGTAACAAATGAAACTAAATCAGCTTGTAAGAATTTGTACTTAGAAGGGGTTTACCCCTTTGTTTTGCCAGATGATAATAAGGTATAGTGATATTTATATCAGTTTAATCAATTAAGGTTTGCTTCTCATTTTTCAAGGATATTTTTTTTCCTCTCTCCATGTGTTTTATCAATTCTTAACCCTTTCAGGGTCCAGACCCCCAATCTGAAACTTGTCCACAGGGTCCAAGAATTTAAAAAAAAAAATTTATTTTATTATGAAACGGTAGAGAATCTTTTTCTTAACGTAATAAAACAAAAGGTATGAAATTTGATGGAAAATTGACAAAAATTATGCTATCACAAATTTTGTTGTGTCGGCAGTATTTACACTTTGGCAATGTTGCCCATTTTGATGCCTATTTTAGCCCAATTACATTGTTCCAGTCAACAGATTCTTAGCTATCTTGTTAGTATGACTTCTAGTTTATTGATTAAGAATAAGAAACTGCCCAGTCAACTATTTCAACTACCCAATAAAGTAATCAGAAATTGTTAATTTGGCCAGTTTCACACAAATTTCAAAATATTCCAATTTCAAAATAGGGTCCAAAATTAACAATGCAGACGTTCCTGGCACTAAAAAGCATTTCTTCTGTTCATTAGTTACATTTCCAGGCTTTACACAAGAATTCCATGTAGATTTTTTATTCACAATGAATTTTTATTCACACCAAAAAAATAGAAGATTTACTGTAATGCAATATTGTAATAATTGTATAAATAATATCAGTGCATTTGTGAACGCACATTAGATTTACCAGTTGACATATATTGGACACACGCTGTGATTTGTTTACTCTTGAACATAGGCAAAAATTGAATATTTCCACTACTTTGAGCTCAATTTCAAGCTATTTTCTGTCCTAAAACCAATCAAAATCATCTCTATTTCTGTAACATATCTTTCATTCTATCAAATGAGACCAAGAAGATGTGAATACAACCATAAAAACCATACAGAAATACACTGCGAATTTGCTGGCTTAAACCAAAAACAGAGTTGCAGTTTTCATCTCATTATGCACTGCATGCTGAAGTATATTTTTTATATGGTGCACACTTACCACATAGACCCATTCTCTTGAATCTAGGCCCAAATTTGCCGCTCACAGCTTATCCGAGTGAGCTGAGCTCATCACATAGTACTGCTGCACGGACCCTGGCTTTAAACCTGTAGAACAATGGCATGGACCCTCAAAGGGTTAAGATTAACATGTGCAAAAATTGTCTACCACCTTAACTGGTTTTCTCATTGGTCTGTCCACTGAGAAAACAGTTGACTTTTATTTAACACAAGGGTTACCTTCCTGAAAAATGGTGCATAAAATGATGGGATGGTTGTAATGAGAAATATCCAAATGAGGTAAATACATATTGCTATTGGTAACACTATTCAAATTACTTGTGCTCTGTTGCCTAGTGTCCTGTTTAGTGTTTGTGGCTATTCTGGGCAGGAGAGACATCAGATCTGGAACAGATATAGACTGCTTTGATTATTGAATATAGAGACTGTTTTGATTATTGAATATAAAATAGTAGTGATAAGATTTTCATTTATATTGTTTGGTATCTTATTTAGGCACCTTTGCTAGACATCATACTGGTTCATGGGATTAAAGGTGGAGCAGCATGGACATGGCGTCAGCATGATCAACAGAGATACAGGCCACTCTTATCACAAGAAAAACGTAGAAATATTCTCAAGGGACAGAACATAGAAGGTAAGGGTGTCTTCATAACTATTAAATTATATCTTTTTGTTTCCTTCATTATCATCATTGTCATTATATTTGAAAATCACAAAGCTGTGAGACTACTAAAATAGACTTTGTCATCATCATAGTATGTACAGAAGTTTAATATCATGGCACCTTTGCGGGTACAAGTGATGAGAAACAGACAGTGAACTGGTTAAGAGTATTGCTTGTCTGTCAGCATGCAAGGACTGGGTATGAGTGTGCCAGAATAGACTTGAAGTGCTAATACAATAGTAAGTTATTACCATAAATCATTTGAGTAGATTATAAATTGTAATAAAAATAAGAGAAAGTAAAGAATACACAGGGAAATAGGTGTTATCTGTCAATAAAAAACTGTTTAAAAATAGCTAGACAAGGCAGTCTAACTAATGAACATTATTTCATTATAGAGCATGGTGTTCTTTGTGAATGTAAGACAGGTGGCACTACCACCCACATTCCTCTCTCCACTGTCATTACACTTATCACTATTACCATCATCATAGACACCACTACCCTCATCATTATATTCACTATAATTATCAACACCACTATTGACGTGGAAATTTACGAGACCAAGAAATTCCACCGACTGGGTTTGTTTGTAAATAAATTGATGTGGCAGTTGCAGGAACCCTTAACCCACCCAAACAATGATGCTAGCATGGAGATCATAAGAATTCAGAGTGAAATCGTAAGATTAAACATACTAATTGATAGATATACATTTAAGAATGAATTAGGTAAGTTTAAATTGTTAGTAAATAATATCAGGATTAATATTGTAGCCTTAGACCATAATATTAGGTAATATTAAGTTGTATTAAGTAATGAGGTTAGGTAAATTGTGGTAGTTAGCATCTCGTACAAACAAGTTGAATTCAGGGCTTGCTGGATGCTAGCTCATTCTTCTGGACAAAGTCAGCATGAAGTCTAGATCTCTTGGAGTTGCCAGCTCAGGGACTGTGCTATCTCCAAAATACCACCTGGAGATCATCTAAGAGGCTTCCATGTGTCTCTTCCCAGGCCCCTGTAGTAAGACGATACTCAACATTTCTCTTAGTATTAGTTGGCCAATGGTATTTTGAGGAACATGGGTTATTTGAATTCCAGGCAAAAGTCTAATACAAAGTGAGTTGGAGTTCTGAATACAGTGGAACCTCAAATATCGAACTTTCTTTGTTCCAGACAGCTGTTCGACTGCTGTTACCGAACGAATTTATTCCCATCAGGAATAATGTAAATTAGATTAGTTCATTTTAGACCCTCAAAAATACACTTATAAAAGCACTTACAAAAATACACTTACATAATTGGTTGAGTTGGGAGAGTTCGATATTTGAAGTTCCACTGTAATTGCCTCATTAAATATCAGTCCAGAAGCTAGTATCCCACTGTGTACATGAATAATGATTAGGGAAGACCCATTGAATTCAGGGACCCCACAAGGTGTAGATTTGGGGATACTAATACTATTTGAATATTTGCAGTCCTATGCACATGCCTTCTTGAAGTGAGAGACAGGTCATAGAAACTTAGATTAGCCTGAGGGGAAGCAGGGAGTTTCTAACTAGATAGACTCCACAATCAAGTCTATTCTAGTTTGTGCATGCAGATAAGAATTTCCTGCAAGTTAGATTAATTCTCAACAGGAAGTGTACTCTAAGGGCTACTTGTGAGAACAGAACTCTAAGAGTCTTGTGTTATTTGTGTCAACAGTGATTGCCAGAGTAGGGCATCTCACAAGTTTCCACAATTACATTCAATATTATTGTCAACCTAGTCATCATCTCCACACTCAACATCACCACTTACATTACACTCATCATTATTGCTATTGTCATAGACACCACTACCCTCATCACTGTGTTCACTGCAATTATCACACCACTATTACATTCAACATTATCATTAACTGGCATCATCTCCACACTCAACACCACCACTTACATTGCACTCATCACTATTACTATCATCATAGACACAGAAAAAAACTGAAATCCAAGGATTTGGTTTCTCTGGTTTCAGTTATCCACGGTTTACCGTGGCCTAAAAATTACCCTTAATTTTGCATAATAATGGTCTCAGAGCACAAAAGTAGTGATGGTGACCATTCTTCAAAGCCTAAGAGATGCCATGAAGTGCTTCCCATCAGTGAAAAATTGCTAATTCATGACTTAATACAAGGGCAAAAATCATACAATGAGGTCACTCAGATATACAGCAAGAATAAATTTTCCATTCATGAGGTATAATAATGGAAAATGTATTTTATTATTTAGTGTTGGTACTGTTTTATTGTGCATAATTTATCACTAAACTTTATCATACCAGCCATATCCCACCAAGGCAGAGTGACCTAGAAACAAAAACAAAAGTTTCTCTCTTTAACCCGTTAACTGTCCAAACATAGATCTACGTTCTTACTGCTAGTGCTCCAAACGTAGATCTACGTTTTATTTTTCCTGCCTCCAAATTTGGCACGATTGGCCTAAGATGCTTGGTCAGTATAGAATGGGTCTTAACCCTCATTGTGTGCAGTATTAAAAAGATCTGGGACTTAGCACCTTGTGGGAGCACCAGCTCAGTTGAGCGCCAGCTAGAGCAAACAGAGCGGCAAATTCCAAGGATTTACTGATGTCATATCGTATGGAAGAAGTGAATGTTTTCAGATACTTGGGAGTTGACGAGTCGGCGGATGGATTTATGAAGGATGAGGTTAATCATAGAATTGATGAGGGAAAAAAGGTGAGTGGTGCGTTGAGGTATATGTGGAGTCAAAAAACGTTATCTATGGAGGCAAAGAAGGGAATGTATGAAAGTATAGTAGTACCAACACTCTTATATGGATGTGAAGCTTGGGTGGTAAATGCAGCAGCGAGGAGACGGTTGGAGGCAGTGGAGATGTCCTGTCTAAGGGCAATGTGTGGTGTAAATATTATGCAGAAAATTCGGAGTGTGGAAATTAGGAGAAGGTGTGGAGTTAATAAAAGCATTAGTCAGAGGGCAGAAGAGGGGTTGTTGAGGTGGTTTGGTCATTTAGAGAGAATGGATCAAAGTAGAATGACATGGAAAGCATATAAATCTATAGGGGAAGGAAGGCGGGTAGGGGTCTCCTCGAAAGGGTTGGAAAGAGGGGGTAAAGGAGGTTTTGTGGGCTAGGGGCTTGGACTTCCAGCAAGCGTGCATGAGCGTGTTAGATAGGAGTGAATGGAGGTGAATGATACTTGGGACCTGATTATCTGTTGGAGTGTGAGCAGGGTAATATTTAGTGAAGGGATTCAGGGAAACCGGTTATGTTCATATAGTTGGACTTGAGTCCTGGAAATGGGAAGTACAATGCCTGCACTTTAAAGGAGGGGTTTGGGATATTGGCAGTTTGGAGGGATATGTTGTGTATCTTTATACGTATATGCTTCTAAGCTGTTGTATTCTGAGCACCTCTGCAAAAGCAGTGATAATGTGTGAGTGTGGTGAAAGTGTTGAATGATGATGAAAGTATTTTCTTTTTGGGGATTTTCTTTCTTTTTTGGGTCACCCTGCCTCGGTGGGAGACGGCCGACTTGTTGAAAAAAAAAAAAAAAATATCGTATTAACACTCCCCTTTCAAGAGGAAAGTCTCATCCTGCCAGAATGTCCTATGACCTATGCCCTAAGTAAAAAGAAACAATTCTGGAACTGTAATTTCAGCAGGCTGGCAGTTGCCTGGCCACCTGGCTGGCTGGTGGCTGGCTGGCTACCTGGCTGGCCAACTGACTGGCTGATTGGCTGTTTCTATCTCCATCTGTCTGTCTGTATCTATCTCTGTCTATCTCTTTGTCTCTATCTCTGTCTCTATCTGTCTCTATCTCAGAGGAACACATATGTAAACACAATTATACATAGTGTGAATTACCTAGGATAACCCAAGAAATCAAGACAAATTGCTATACTGTGCTTGTAGATAGTGATCGTTTGTAATACCAGTTGGTTCATGAGCAACTCTGAGACAAGAGAGACAAGCAGACAGAAACACACAGGCAGACAGAAAGGCAGACACGCAGACAGACAGACAGAGAGCTAGATACAGAGAGCTAGACAGACAGACAAAGCTAGACAGATAGAGAGCTAGACAGAGGGACAGAGAGCTAGACAGACAGAAAGCTAGACAGATAGACAGAGAGCTAGACAGACAGACATGTTTATGTGTAACAGTGAAAACAAATAAAGGGAAGGCTCATCAAATGTCACCACGGTCATTAGTGGGGGTGATAAGATAAGACCACGCTCATCAAATGTCACCATTATCAGCAGTGGAGTGATAAGACAAGTGACACATTCTTACATGATGCTTCAAGGGAAATTATTATTATTATTATTATTATTATTATTATTATTATTATTATTACTATTATTATTACTATTATTATTACAGTGGACCCTCGGTTATTGGCCGTAATCTGTTCCAGAAGCTTGGCCTAAAACCAAAATGGCCGAAAACCGAAATAATATTTCCCATAAGAATTAATGTAAATACAATTAATCCGTTCCAGACAAAAATATTCACACACAAAAAAATATTTTTTTTTAAAATTAAATCAATATTACATACCTTTATTGAAGCCTAATGCTGGCTTCTGGAATGCCTGCTACACTTCTGCATGCCTGCTACACTCCCTGCATGCCTGCTACACTCCCTGCATGCCTGCTACACTCCCTGCATGCCTGCTACACTCCCTGCATGCCTGCTACACTCCCTGCATGCCTGCTAAACTTCTTGCATACCTGCTACACTCCCTGCATGCCTTCTACACTCCCTGCATGTCTGCTATACTCGCTGCATGCCTGCTACACTTCTTGCATGCCTGCTACACTCCCTGCATGCCTTCTACACTCCCTGCATGCCTGCTACACTCCCTGCATACCTGCTACACTTCTTGCATGCCTGCTACACTCCCTGCATGCCTGTTACACTCCCTGCATGCCTGCTACACTTCTTGCATGCCTGCTACACTCCCTGCATGCCTGCTACACTTCCTGCATGCCTGCTACATTCTGCCTCTATGCTGCCTGCCTGAATTTTTAGCTGTTCTCACTTCCTTACGAAGTACCTTCATAAGAACTTCTTGATGCCTGGTGACTATTCGCGTTGCACTTGATAAACTAACCCCTGAAAATAAGTGTTATGCAAAATGTTTGGAGAAAGTACGTCAAAGACTTCTCTTTGCAGAGCCAGCAGTACTTATTTGTCATTTGCACTTATTTACACCACCAAAAATCAACGTGACTAACTTAGCAATATTTTGATGAAAAGAGCAGACTCTCACTTGCCAAGAACTGTCAACCAATTATTATATTATTCACCATAATTTAATCACACCCTCCATCACGTCCCTAACCATTTACTTCTTTTAGATCCCCACTATAAATAGTTACAGACATTGACATTAAATCCTGTGTCAGACCTCCATTTTTTGGTAATTCTGATTCTCCACACATAATTTAGAGCCTCACTCCTCTCCATCAAACACCTGCTTTACGTCTTTACTAAGTAACTCCCATCCATAAATATGTAAAGCACCATGGCACATTGCATTCATTGTTCCGAAGTCTTGTTGGGAAATAATTTCTCTCCTACACACCTATTGGATGGCGTTCATCACTCTAAAAACTCTTAGCCAGGTGCTTATTTATAATAATTACACCAGGTGTAATACACTTAGTTGCAGCTATCATGCGGGCATTTGCTTCCATTGTTCCGAAGTGTTGGAGACAGGTGAACTTTTTTAAATCTTTAATTTCTTTTTTGGTTGGCTGTTATCACTAACCCTCTTAGGCCCCATGGTGACTTATTTATACAAATAATATAAAAAAACACCAGAAGGTGTAATTACAATTTTAGTTTGCTAAGTACAAAGAAAGCCACTATCATGCTGGGGCATTTTGGGCATAATAACTACTTAAATCCTGACAAGATTAGAGTGGTTAACTTTTTTTAAAATCTTTATTTAACCTTAATACTAATGCGAGATAGTCAAGGTGAATGTTTACAAGACCTCAAGAGGTGGTTGACAGCATGTGCATTAATCACTATAGATCCTAAGAGGGCTGTGGACTCTAGTGATCACATAATCTGAGCATTGTCGGTCGACAACCAAGAGCACACATGAAAACCAGGACATTTGTTTCTTGAATTCATTGTTCAAAAGCCAATTTGTTCGACACCAAGGTTCCACTGTATAATTTTTTCTTAATAGAGTAGTATTGATAACTTATTTTCTGGAGTCACAATGTGTAGGCAAATGCCCTTGGTCCATCCCTTGAATCTAACCATCAGAATTATCTAGCTAATAACATTATTTATCTAAAATATTGCTACTATATTCTTTTATGAGCTTTTTTTTTTTTGCACTTGCAGTAAGTTTCAAAGATTTTTTCTTGAAACATGGAGGATAAGTTAACAATGACAGTAATTTACTCTTGTTTCAGATGTAGACGAATTTTACACTTGTTGTTGGCCATTGGATTGGTTAGTTCCAACACTTAAATTGCCAGTGAGAGTAATTGCTGTCAACTTTAAGTGTGGGTGGTGGAGATGGGAGAGCGAGTGTTCAACAGAAGGAACTGGGTAAGAGTCAGCAGAAGTTATTTATTCATTATTGCTGTTAGAAAAATGTACACATTAATGACTAATGCCACTTGAATGATCTTCTTTCAACTGACTGGCTATATCCCACCAAAGCAGGGTGGCCCAAAAAGAAAAACAAAAGTTTCTCTTTTTAACTTTAGTAATGTATACAGGAGAAGGGGTTACTAACCCCTTGCTCTCGGCATGTTAGTCGCCTCTTACGACGTGCATGGCTTATGGAGGAAGAATTCTGTTCCACTTCCCCATGGAGATAAGTGGAAATAAACAAGAACAAGAACTAGTAAGATGATAGAAGAAAACCCAGAAGGGTGTGTGTGTGTGTGTATATATACAGTAGACTGTCATTTAACACGAGTTTATTTGGCACATGTTCTTTTTTTTTTTTTTTTTTTTCTCCAACTTGCCAGTACCAAGCTGCTGGAATAAATTTAGCATTGCAGATCCCATCAACTATACTAGAAGTGCATGGAATGAAGTGCCTCAATCAACATTAACCCTTAAACGGTCCAAACATATATATACGTTCACTCGCACAGTGCCCCGAATATTTTGAAAAATAAAAAAAATCTTTTTTTTTTTTTGTTGATAAAAAGAGCACATTTTTCTAAGTGTTATAGGATAAAAAAAAAATTTTTACGGTCAGTATTTACCGAGGTATGAGGCCCAGAAGTTGGCACTGGATGCTCACTTGACAGCAACAGCAAGTCCTGCCGATTGCAGAAGTGTTGCCGAAGTGGAACAGAATTCTTCCTCCGTAAGCCATGCGTGTTGTAAGAGGCAACTAAAATGCCGGGAGCAAGGGGCTAGTAACCTCTTCTCCTGTATATATTACTAAATGTAAAAGGAGAAACTTTCGTTTTTCCTTTCGGGCCACCCCGCCTGGGTGGGATACAGCCGGTGTGTTGAAAGAAGAATAATAATAGTAATGATAATAATAGTAATAATAATAATACGTAATAATATGTTCACTTGAAGCATGAAAAACAAAGTCCACCCCTGACAGTGACATGATAAGGGGAGATAACATCTGATAAGAGCTGACATTTGATGAGCATACACGAGGGTGGGGAAGGGTGCAGCTGATAAGAAAAGATTAGATGACCATCCCCCTCCTTTGTTTTTGCTGGTACACAAACATTTCTGTCTGTCTGTCTGTCAAGCTCCCTGTCTGTCTGTCTATCCGTCTAGCTCTCTGTCTCAGAGAGAGCGACAAGACTGCATCATCACCTTTACTCACATCTTCAAGCAGAGTATAGCACTTTGTCTGGATTTTTGGGTTATCCTAGGTAATTTATACTACATATACTTGTATTTATGTGCACATGTGAGACAGACAAAGATTGAAAGAGATAGACAGAGACAGATAGACATAGCCAGAGACAGACAGACACAGATAGACAGAGACAGATAGAGACAGAGATCGACAGACCCTAAACTTGGGGTTAACATCACTTTCCTCTTAAAAGAGAAGTGTTAATATGACATTACATCAGTGAATCCTTGGTGTTTGCCGCACTGTTTGCTCTAGTTGGCGCTCAATTTAACTGGCGCTCCCACAAGGTACTGAGTGGTCCCAGATTTTTTTAATACTGCGCACACCGAGTGTTAAGACCAATTTTATGCTGACCAAGCATCTCAGACCAATCGTGCCAAATTTGGAGGCAGGAAAAATAAAATGTATACAGTGGACCCCCGACATTCGAAGGCATCGACATTTGACAAATCCGACATTCGATGCATTTTAACGCTAAAATTTCGCCTCAACATTCAATGGAAAACCCGACATTTGATACGATTCGTACAAGACGTGTCCACGTGTGGCCTGAACTGCCCCGTGTGTGCCAGTGTTTGCAAGCCAGCCTGTGTGCGCGCATCTAAGGATACATTCGGTACATTCCATATTATCACTGTTTTTGGTGCTTGTTTCTGCAAAATAAGTAACCATGGGCCCCAAGAAAGCTTCTAGTGCCAAGCCTTCGAGAAAAAAGGCGCTAATGACTATTGAAATGAAGAAGGAGTTAATTGCAAAGTTCGAAAGTGGAGTGCATGTGCCGGAGCTGGCCAGGTTGTATAGTAAACCCCAATCAACCATCTCTACTATAGTGAGCAGGAAAACGGCAATCAAGGAAGCTGTTGTTGCAAAAGGTGCAACTTTGTTTTCGAAACAAAGATCGCTAGTGTTAGAAGATGTTGAGAGACTGTTATTGGTGTGGATAAATGAAAAACAGATAGCAGGAGATAGCATCTCTCAAGCGATCATTTGTGAAAAAGCTAGGCAGTTGCATGATGATTTGGTAAAGAAATTACCTGCAACTAGTGGTGATGTGAGTGAATTTAAGGCCAGCAAAGGTTGGTTTGAAAGATTTAAGAATCGTAGTGGCATACACATTGTGGTAAGGCATGGTGAGGCTGCCAGTTCAAGTCCTAATGGAAGGGGATTTCCCTTCTAAACACTAACACCATCCACACTCTCCCCTCCTCCCATCCCATCAATCATCACCAGATTTTCATTAAAGGTAAGTGTCAATTATTCTATTGTTATTAATCTATTGTTATTGTTGTTATTGTAATTATTCTAGTGCATTAAACTTAATATTTCATGTGGTAAAATTTTTTTTTCATACTTTTGGGTGTCTTGCATGGATTAATTTGGTTTCCATTATTTCTTATGGGGAAAATTAATTTGACTTTCGATATTTTCGACATTCAATGGCTCTCAGGAACGGATTAGTATCGAATGTTGGGGGTCCACTGTATATACGTTTGGGGCGCTACGCGTAAGAATGTATATATATGTTTGGACCGTTTAGGGATTAAATACAAGCTGGGGAAAGTTATGGCCTTCTGTAGTTACTTCTTTGACTGGTTTTTCTCTTGCTTGAGAGTAAGGTTCAGCTGGCAGGGAGATTACCAGATACAAGGGAGCCAGATAAGATGAAGAACCTGAAGAAAAACAGTTAACATTGCAGCAGTTACATGAGCAGTTCTGTAATATTGGTAAAGTTACAGACTTTTTCACTGAAGAGGACCCTGACAAATCTAGAAGCAGTGCTTTGAAACGGGGTCTAGACCAGCTGATGATGCCTTACCATCAGCTATATAATGTACTGCAGGGTAAAAGAGCTCAGAGATTCATTACAGAATTTATGCCCACTCCAATACAATCATCGACTTTAGTACCAGAACCTCTACCATCCACTTCTGCCGACAACCAACAACCATCCACCTCAGCCCAGTAAGGCCACACCATCCATATCCACTTTCTTTGCAATCATCCACAAATACCATTACCCACAATTTAAGGTAAGAAATACTATTGTTTTTGTTGCATTTGTAGTCTTAAGCAGTAATATATCACGACAATGGACTACAATTACAAATGCACTTTTATTTTTGTAAGATCTGTTGGTCTAAAAAAAAGTTGTTTGGCTTTTTGGGGTGCTCTTAGGAACATAACTCTGTTTTTCCCATAAGTTCTTCAGTTCATCTAACACAGTTTTACCTAACACAGCATTTTCAGGAACGTAACTACCGTGTTAAATAATGATCTACTGTACATAAAAAAACATGCTTGTACATGCACGTGCAGTGTGACCTAAGTGTAAATAGACGTAGTAAGACGTATCTGAAACCTTGCATGTTTATGAGACAGAAAAAAGACACCAGCAATCCTACCATCATGTAAAACAATTACAGTGGACCCTCAGCTAACGATATTAATCCGTTCCTGAAAGCTCATCGTATGCTGAAATTATCGTTAGCTGAATTAATTTTCCCCATAAGAAATAATGGAAATCAAATTAATCTGTGCAAGACACCACAAAGTATGAAAAAAAAAAAATTTTACCACATGAAATATTAATTTTAATACACACAAACTGACACTTATCTTTATTGAAGATCTGGTGATGATTGATGGGATGGGAGGAGGGGAGAGTATGGAAGTTTTTAATGTTTAGAAGAGGAATCCCCTTCCATTAGGACTTTAGGTAGCACGTCCTTTTCTGGGGTTACTTCCCTTCTTCTTTTAATGCCACTAGGACCAGCTGATCGTGGTGCAGCAACAGATGATGGTGGTGTAGCAGCAGCTGACTGTGGTGCAGCAACATCTGACTGGTGCAACAACAGCTGACCATGGTCCAGCAACAGCTGATGGTGGTATAGCAGCAGCTGACTGTGGTGCAGCAGCAGCTGACCGTGGTGCAGCAGCAGCTGACTGTGGTGCAGCAGCAGCTGACCGTGGTGCAACAGCAGCTGACCGTGGTTCAGCAACAGCTGATTGGTGCAGCAACAGCTGACCGTGGTGCAGCAGCAGCTGACCGTGGTGCAACAGCAGCTGACCGTGGTTCAGCAACAGCTGATTGGTGCAGCAACAGCTGACCGTGGTGCAGCAACAGCTGACCGTGGTGCAGCAACAGCCAACTGTGGTGCAGCAACAGCTGACGGTGATGCAGCAGCAGCTGACCGTGGTATGACAGTACATATTTCTCACCCTTTTTACCACAGGGTTGGCACTAGAAGCTTTCTTTGGGCCCGTGGTGGCTTATTTAGCAGTTACAAGCACTATAAACAATGGAATAATACAAAATGTATCGAATGTATGCATGCAACTGGCCACCCTGGCATGTAAACAATGATGGCAGGCCTGGATGGACAGGTTCGGGACGAGTCATGTTGGTCAGAAACAGCTGATGGTGGTGCAGCAGCAGCTGACCGTGGTGCAGCAGCAGCTCACCGTGGTTCAGCAACAGCTGACTGGTGCAGCAACAGCTGACTGTGGTGCAGCAACAGCTGATGGTGGTGTAGCAGCAGCTGACTGGTGCAGCAGCAGCTGACCATGGTGCAACAGCAGCTGACCATGGTTCAGCAACAGCTGACTGGTGCAGCAACAGCTGGCTGCGGTTCAGCAACAGCTGACTGTGGTGCAGCAGCAGCTGACCATGGTGCAGCAGCCGCTGACTGTGGTGCAGCAGCAGCTG